GTCAATAGAGAAGTCCATACAGGGAATCAGGCTTACTCTGCTCACCTTTCTAACTTCAACAGTACAAAGTCTGCTTCAACTATCATGGCACCCCTGAAATAGCGTGTCACAAGAGAGTGACAAACTTACAAAAGAAGTACAGGAAAAATGACAATAGTAAGGATTAGGAAAGAAAAAGCAGCAGTTCCCCGAGTGCAGTTCAGGCACAGTTATGAGCATTTCATTGATCTTCTTCTTCTTCTTCTCGATCGCATCACACTTGAAGTCTGGTATCTGTCATAAACTGGGCCGTCCTGCTCAGTTCATCTGTCGGCCCGTTTAGCTTCTCTTGTAGTGTCAGTGGGGTTGGCCACGTTTCCTGTCTCAGGGTCCTGTGTGTCTTTCAGTGCTGAAGGATATGTACAGTTTCGTCCGCCTCTCATGGCACTGATGAATCAGCCCATTTACAATTCTACTGTGCATAAGAACATGTTAATATCCCCCCTTTGAGAATGGCCTAAAGACACTTCAGTCAGTAGCACTGCCCTGTGGGGTTAGTAGTAGTTTGTTCTTTTACGGTTTTATTCGTAATATATAACTACTGTATAGGATCTTTGGTACTTTCCTAAAGAAGCCAGCAGTTGAATATTTTTTTGTTTCTTTAATGTTGGTGTTTTTATGCCCTTATCAACACAGTTTAGATTACTTAGGAGTAAGGTTTCGACACTACCTGTCTGGGCCAACTGGGGCTGAGAGTTTTACAACGTCCCAGCTAGAAAGACAGGGATGCTCAATAAATATTCTCCCCTCTCAGGACTCGTATCTCCTGCATGCCACAATGAAGATCCTTATTGATACACCTCAGGCACCGGGATGGGGGGGGGGGCTCTCGTGGCCTAGAGGTTAAGGTGTTCGCCTCTCACTCATCCAAAGGTCCTGGGTTTGAATCCGGGTTGCGGCGGAAAAAAATTTCTTCTCTAAAATTGTCTACTTTCACCTCCTTTCCTGCTCTCTAGCTATATCCATACGACGTGGGGAACTCTGTGCCACCACTTTCCAAAGAGGAAATTTACTCGTTAATCCTATCTGTACGTTTTGCATAGCAGTCTTTCAAAATGATTTTTTGAGAAATACTGAAAGTTTCAAAGACGTCTTCTCACTAGAAGTATTCTAAAATGGGAAGAATACAACCCCAGGGCGTACGGATAGGGTTAATGGCATTTTTACATCCAAATGTATGCTTGTCTTTGTTCAAACTATACTTATGTTCCCATAGATATTAGACAAAGTGAAATGTCAACTTCTACGTTTTGCTCTCTTCCACTGTCCCAGCTGTGACTGTAAAGAACGGAGGCAACGTGCTGGTGCCATGCTACGCCAGCGGGGTGACCTTTGACCTCTTTGAGTGCCTGTCGGGACACTTGGAGCAGTGTGGCCTGGCGGGCGTGCCCATGTACTTCCTGTCCCCGGTGTCGGACAGCACTCTCGCCTACTCCAATATCTTTGCCGAGTGGTGAGTCGTTTGGGTTTTTTTTTTTTTTGTCGTGATATTCATCTCTACATATTATATTTATGAAAGTTCGTCACTTTGACCGTCTAAAACTTCCAAACCATTTAACTTTCGAATTTGACAAAATTAATGGTGGTTCAGAATCATTTAAAGGGTGCACAGTTTTATTGAGGAGCCTGACGTCACTGTTGTTTATAATCTTCAGTTTTTTCATTAGCTTCGTTTAGATCTAATCTTGGGAACGTCCATTTTCTAAGACACCATTGTAAACAAGTGAGGTTTCCATTCACTAGCCGTGCGCACTGATTCCACACCTTTGAAATCCTGGAGTATACAACCACGAAAGCGAAATAGAGAATCAATCTATGCATCTCTTTTTCTAGACCTTCTAATTTTTTTGCAACTCTAAAGATTTATTGCTCCTTTTCAGTAGAGTGTAAATGTAGTAGGCTAATGACTTTTAGTTGAAGTTAATGCACCCGATCATTCCTTTCATCGAAAGGGGTTCCAGCTTGTCTAAGATAAAATAAGATTATTGAGCCACGAGGGAATTTTTGAGTGAAAATACTAGAACGTTAACTTACAAAGATTCAGTATCAACACAGAAATGCATCCCTTACATTCATGCTCAATGATAGATGTATGAAGGTGCATAACACACTCTTGGATGTGTGTTAAAAACTGTGGGGACGCAGAGCCAATTCTACATAGCACAACCTCCGAAGTGCTTTCTAGTGGTATTTTCATTTTTAATTACAGTGAAAACAGTTTATAACAAAGAGTAAGCTTAAGAAGAAGTCACATTTTCACTGTCAAAAAAAAAAATGGAGCTACGACAAGAAAACACTAAGGAAACTGAATAGTGGGGTATTTTTGGGGGAAGTGTCTAGGTAGACCCCAATTGGGGACTACGTAGTCATGGTGTCTAGGTAGTCTCCGAAAATGTTGGATTGTGATTGGCCTACTATATTTAGATTCTACACTCTACTGGAATGGAGCAGTAGGCCTACATCTTAAATGAAAGATGCAGAAAATTAGGTCTAGATCTAGATCTACAATCCAACATTTTGGGGACTACCTAGACACCATGACTACGTAGTCCCCAATTGGGGTCTACCTAGACTCTTCCATGCACATTTTGTGCGCGCCACCAGATCGACTTCATTCAGAACAGAGGAGAAGAAGAAGTTCACAATGGTCACCCATTTGTTCAACTTCCTGTGCACTTTGGTGCATCCTAACGTTCACATGAAAAAATTTTTTTTGCTTTTTGACGTGAAAGTAAAATATGTGAGACATTGTGCTGAAATCAGGCGCTCGTCAGTATAATGAAATCCGAGAAATCGGTATTTTCGGCCAGTTTCGAAGTTATTTTCGAATTTTTTATAGTTTTTTGGGAGTCAACACCTTTTATGTCTTTTATGTCCATTCAAAAACACTTTTATCTGTGGATTTTATGGAAAACCGTTGACTTCAGAAGTCACCAAACTTTGGCAGCCTTTTTCTCGCTAATTTTACTTCTGAAACCAGGCATCCCCCCCTTCCTTCAATCGCAAATATCTCGACTTCTTTTCAAGATAAATGGATATTTTTTTCATTGAAAGCAAAGCAACTGAACGAGCTTTAAGATGACACCAATAACTCGATAGGCCCAAAAACTGACGAGCACCTGATTTCACCGCATCGTAACACATTGTCATATGACTGCTGATGGTGGCTTGGGCACACTTTCCTCTATCGAAATAAAATGTGAGGCAGCGTTGTTTAATCAGGCGCTCGTCAAAATACAGATATCGGAGAAACAAGCATTTTTCCCCACTTTGGACATTTTTATCGAATTTGTATTTTTGTCTGGACCTCCTTTATGTCCATATAAAAACACATTCCCATGTGAATTTTACTGAAAAACATTGATTAATGGCACAAAATATGTAAGTTTTCTGTTTTCAAGGGCTCTTTAGCTATTGGAGTTACCAAACTTTGGTGGCCATTTTCTTGCTAATTTCGCTACTGAAACCAGGCGACCTCACTTACTTAAATTTCAAATAACTCGAGTTCTATTTAAGATAAATGAGTGTTTACTTCATTGAAAGGAAGCAAATAAATCCGCTTTCAAATTATATCAATAACTCCACATGCCCAAAAGTTGACGAGCACCTAATTCCACCGCGTCGTGACACAAATCGTAATTGCAGCTTTATGTCAGTGATCTATTTTTAACCATAGCCAGACTTGCCATTGAGGAAATCTTGTGGGAGAAACTAGTGGCACGTCCGATTAATTTGTTTGGGACTGAACTCTTTTGCTGGATTTTTGACATCTAGTTGGGACCAGGTAAGTGGATGAGAGTGGCAGGTCTTACTGCAAAGAAAAGTAACAAACTCATAAAATCCCTCCAAGAAACAGTAGAGAAAGCCAGTCACTGGATCTGGTTGAAGCAAGAGGACGCAGGCTGGAATGAATCCTAAGAGTTGACAGCAGAGGAAAACAGTCGGACTAGCACGGAGACCTCACATCGGTGAGGGGGCTCGGTGCGTCAGAAAAGCTGTAGAGAGGAAGAGCCCGAAACAGAAACGCATTCTCTCCTGATGATCTCCATGCTAGACTTCGGGATACGGAGCATTCGGATGTGAGCGCTCGGATATCTTAATCTTAGGCAACCTTTACAGTGCTGGTTTTTTCCCATTTACCTGTCTGTTCAAATTCTGTAAATAATTATTGGCCTACATCTGCCCCTGTTGCCGTAAATTTTTCCAGGAAGAGCAAGATGTTCACCGCCTGTTGTATGTTGATTTAGGTGTCCCAGATACTGCTTCTCTACCGGGTGTTTTTGTTTGTTTTTCCACAGGTTGTCATCGAGCAAACAGTCAAAGGTCTTTCTGCCTGAATGTCCATTCCCTCATGCAGATGTAAGTTGATGTGACAGGTTACATATAGGAAGACTCCACTGAAAAAACGGCCATAGTCACAAACTGGAAATTGTGAGAGTGTCAATTTTAAAAGCTTGTGGTCTCAGAACTTCATATTTGTTTGGTTGCTGGTTTATTTTATACGTTTGTTGGATGGGAAATCTAACAACAATAATCAACCAACAGCTGAACACAAATACAGTTATGAGTCAACAAGCGTTCAAAATTGGTACCCTCGTGATTTTCAGTTTGTGACTATGCCCGTTTTTTCAGTGGACTCCTCATATATTTCACAACTTGTGGGTGGTTGGAGCGTGTTACTGGTAGGCCCAACTTCTTTTCTTTCTTTCTATTTATTTTTTCTCTTTACTAAATAACTGTTTGTGGGTCGTTGTGCTTGTACTCTGCTGGTAACTTCTTTAAACTACTAAAACTTCATTGTACTTTTCCCTTTGTCTATCTGTTTCATCATCTTTCCCCGTGAATGTGATTCTGAATGGTGAACTTAAATAATTATGGAGTTCAAATATCATATTATGCTGTTAGATTTTGAAAACAAAAGCACCCAGATATGTAGGCCTATTGCATTACCAGTCTCTCAATTCCAGTTTAGCTTTGTTGCTTTAGGTCAATAAAAAAAGGTGGCTCGTTTAAATGTTTGATGAATACAAATTATGTCGATGTCGATTTTATTCAATTTTAAGAAACAAGGAATCTTGCTTCTCTCATTGTGTCTGAGTTTGTTGTTACTGTATCCAAATATGCAGTTATTAATTGAGAAGTAGAGCCCTGTACTCATTTTTGTTGCAAACTGTCTTGAGTCTTTCGAACCTAATATGGAGCAGTGAAGCTTATTTTGGTTTTGTCATATATTCTTTCAGCTGCTGGCCAAAGGAAGACTGAAGAATTTCTCCAGTATTCATTGTAAGTGTTCCTGGGTAACTATAATGTTCAGTGGTCTTATTTCTTAATGAGTTTGTCTTTTCTCCCATGTCTCATGCTTTTTGCATCAATTTCCTACTGTATTTTTTTTTCTTGCTCTCACTGGCAAAATTGGAGGTATATGAGGCTGGGGTAGGCCCAGAGCAACCTACTTAGGAAACCTAAACAAATGGGTAATGGGGAAAGATCAGGGAAACGTAGCTTTTTCAAGAGCATCAGAGCAAAGGAATGAATGGAGAACCGTGATCGAAGATGTCTGTTGCAGGTCTGGCATTGGATGATGGCAATGATTTTTTTTCATCTTTTGTGTTGGTGCTCTATGTCTCAAGCATAGTGAACTGTAAGGTCTTGTGCCAACTTTTCAAACTTTTTAATTTGTTGGCCGTCTAGAATTCAGAGGAAACGTACTGTAAGGTCTTTATCCCACAGTGACTCTCGTTTTTACATATCTCACAATTTTTTTCCATTTGGAAATCTTTTACCATTTTTTTATGGTATAAATAACTTTAATATTTTATGCTGACAATATTTTTAGTATTCGGAGATGAGGAAACCCCCCGGGGCAGTGCCACTGACTGAAGTGTCTTTAGGCCGTTCCCAAAGGAGGGACATTTCTCGTTCATGCACAGTAGAAATGTAAATGGGCTGATTCATCAATGTCACGCTCTTAACTGTGCCTGATCTACAACAGGGAACTGCTGCTTTTTCTTTCCTAATCCTTACTATTGTCATTGTTCCTCTACTTCTTTTGTATGTTTGTCACACTCTTGTGACCCACTATTTCCAGGGTGCCTTGATAGTCAAAGCAGACTTTGTGCTGTTAAAGCTAAAGAGGTGAGCAGAGTAAGTCTGATTCCCCGTAAGGACTTCTCTGTTGACATCCACCCCTTGGCGCTCATATGACCTTATGCAGTTGCGAGCGCCGTAAACCCTGTACTTAAACTAAAGGAGATGAGGGAAGGAGGTTTTAGATTTGATTTTTTCATTTCTTCTAGTCAGCTTTCTAGACAAGCCTGTTTTTCTTCAACTTTTTAGTACTAAAATGGTGTTATTAGGCATAAACACTCATATATTTAGAATAGATACCAATCTAAAAACAAAGTTGAGAATCCCATGAATATGTGGCATCAGTGACCTAGTGATTAGGCTCTCGGACTCTCATCCCTTTTCCCCACAGATTGTCGGCGGTTAGAAGTGGTCCCTTTTCCCCACAGTACACCGATCGGCGACGGTGTGATATAGCGTGTACTGCAACTGTATCCTGGTCCTTGGGGATAAGTGTTGCGCCCCCGCGTGGGTGGAAAGTGTTAAGCTTTCTTATGGAATTACTTGTGACCTTCAAGCACTATTTATGGGTGGTGATGGGTGCTCTGGCGTGGTTTTCTCCTTCTTTCCTATCAAGCATCTATTGTCCTTATCTCTCCTCCTTTTTTGTGTTTGTGACTTTCTTGTAACACGTGTAATCTTAGGCACTTTTATGACCTAAGTGTGTTGCAAGTGCCATAAAACTCCTACTAAAACTACTTAATAAGATCGGGAGTTGCCAAATTCGAAGAAAGTCACGTCAGTAAGAAAGAATGGAGACGGCAGCTGAGAAAAGACAGAGAGAGGCGAAGGACGAACATCACTAAAGAGCACTTGTTCTAAATAACATCTGATTGTTCTGTTTTCCTGTTCCCCTCAGCTGGCTTGACCACCGACTTCCACACCCCGTGTGTCCTGTTTGCCGGACACCCCTCCCTGCGGATGGGCGACATTGTCCACTTCATCGAGCTCTGGGGAGGCTCAGCTGCCAACACCATCATTTTCACAGGTACGTGTGTGATGTGTGGATAGAAAATGATGAAAGTGAAACTCATGGACTCATGATTATTTGTTATGATGTTAAATAACGGGCCAGTCTTAGATTTTAAAAATGTAGCACAGCTATGTAATTTTCTGGCATAGGGAAGTCAACACTTATTGGTGCCAACAAAGGTGTCATATGAAATCAACAATTTTCCAGCTTTAAAAGGTCATAACTAAGGTCATAACCTGTGCATGGGGGGAACAGACATGTATGTACTTGTCCAACTAATGACTATTTTGTCTTTGCTGTTATTTTGTTTCAAATTTTTAGTTTGAAATTTTTTATTTTTTTTACGTTACTAAATTACATTCAATTGTGTTCGTAAGCTGACTCATTCGAATTTTTATGTTTTGTCTTTTGTAGGTTAGTGTAGAGGAGTCTGCTGAAAATGAACATTCTTAATCCGAAAACAACGGTAGACACCAAAAAAAAGAAAAACCTCCTGTTTTTTTAAAACTTTTATTTGACAACATTTAGAAAATAAAAAACCCAACCACACCAAAGAAAATCCAATGGCCCCGCAGATTTCAGTTTAACTCTTTTCCTACAAGGCCAAAATCCACGACTGGCCCAGGGCTTTTCCCTGACCTATTTTTACCCCCCTACCCCACCAAAGGAAAATGTCAAAACATCCACAACTAGATACTCACATATCATATCATATGGCTCATCAAACTGAAGGTTATAAAAATAATCTATCAGATAGTGGTACAATATTGAAGATTTATTACAGTTATTTTAGTTTAGGGTTTCTAAAAGTAATTATGCAGTATCAAAGGTGTCATATGAAATAAACACTTCTCCAGCTTTAAAACGTCATAACAAAAAAATTACAACAGCAACATCATTCAAACATCCCAGGTAGGTTGCCTCAAGTAGTGCAAAAAAATGCTGAAAGAAAGTTATGTATGTGTACATATTATAGAAGTAAAACTATGAGACATATACTCAAGTCAGGGGAGCACTCTTCTTGTCATTCTTACGTTTTGAATGGGACAGAAAAAAAGCGTTGAAATGACAAAAATTGTCTGTCAGTGCTAGATCTATATTTCCTCTCATGTCTGCCGAGAATTTTGTATCTTTTCATAATTTGATTGGAATAGATACCGAGCCACTCGAGCCGTATTTTGCGACTCCCGGTCCAGCGAGGCCATGTCCGCGAGCCACCGCAAAATGTGGCTCACGGTTAAAAAAAAGTGTTACGTGGGCTCCGGTCTACTATGTGAACTGTATGTTGTGTTGATGAAAGCAATTGCTTTTGACTCGGATATTCGTCAATCAGATGGTTAATACTCTTGTCCTAAACACGCTTTTCTTCAGGGCCCTGCTCTCCATGATAAATGTTACTGAACATGTTTACTGTTTTCCCACTCCCACTTTTTACAGAGCCAGATTTTCCACATTTGGACGCCCTGGCACCATTCTTGCCCTTGGCTATGAGGGTAAGACTCATATGTACAGACTTCTGAGTGTGGGTGGTTGGCGGGTGCTCTGGTGGGGTCTGCTTCTTCTTTCTTATCAAACATCTATTGCTCTAAATCTGCGCCTTGTTTTTTGTGTTTGTTACTCTCTTGTAACACTTCTAATCTTCGGCACTTATATGACCTTATTGTGTTGCAAGTGCCGTAAAACACTTACTAAACAAGACCTTTGACTGCACATTGTAGCTAATAATAGATAATTGCATTTATGTAGCACTCTATCCCATACTAATATAAGCTCTGAGCGCGCTACATAAATCACATGATCACTGAGCGATTCACGCAAGATAAAATATTTCATTGTAACAAGATAAACCAGTTCAGTCACATAAAGATGAACTTTCACAACCACACGTCTAGATCTATATATAATATTGTATTTGTGAAAGATCGTCACTTTTTTCACCTAAAATTTCCAAACAACTTAATTTTCAAATTTGAAAAAATTAACGGTGGTTCAGAATCATTTAAAGGGTGC